TGTTCTGCCCCCCACCCTGTCTCTGGTGAATCCTCTCACCCCCTGCACCTCTGCTCTACACCCCAGTTCTTGTATGCATAAATAAATAAATCTTTTTTAAAAAATAAAATATTTAAGATCTTTTTATAGTTTTCATGTTTTATGTTATTTTTAAATATTTTGTATTTTTATAATTAATCCAAAGATTTGCCAAGTGATGCCTCCTCTTGCTGTCCAGTAATCATGGCCAGTGTTAAAATGGGGTGACTTGAGGATGGTAGGGCACCTGAAAACTTGGGCCTAGTGGGAATGGAGACTGGGCCACCCCAATAAGTGAGTCCCAGGCCCGAATACTGCCAAAAGGCAAGGAAGTGAGGAGCAGCAGGCCAGGCGAGGAGGGAGGCTTGCGAGCCAGCCAAGGGGCCTTGTGAGCAGCAGCCGGGGGCTTGTCTTTCCTGTTTTCCTGGTGTCTGTCTGAAGACCACGCTGTCTGGGCTGGCCACGGCCCCTCTCCTTTGGGTTGCTGTCAGAACTGCCATAGCCATGGTGACTGGCAGCTGATGAGACCTGGTCTTTTCCCTGGATGGGCCACTGGGTTTATTCCGCAAACAAAGACAAACCCTCCCTTCACCCCTCGACCCAGCCTCCAGCCTCCCTCGGCTCCGTCCCAGGAGGCTGACCTCTCCTGGCTGCAGGAGCCCGGCTTCTCATGGGCCTTGGCCACTGGCAGGAGGCTGGCGGTCTGGGGGAGAGGCGGGCAGGGGTTTACTGAGGTTTGGGCTGTGGTCCTGTGCCCCTGCAGCCTGTGCCATCTCAGGTTGAGCCTGCGGGGCTCTGACGGCACCTTCTGTTGCCTCATCCCCTGGGTCTGCCTTGGTGCTGGGGCCTGGGTGCCTCCTCGCCGTCTTTGGTTGCCTGGGCACTGCCTGCCTCTCCTAAGGAAGCCCTCCGCTAACACTCTCCAGTTACACCTCCCCGTGTGTGTGCTTCCCGCCAGGCGCCTGCGGATCCTCAGTCCTTCTGGAGATTCAGTTTTACTGCAGCATAAAGCTCAGGTGGGAGGAAGTGCTAAGAAACGAGGTTGTACAGGGTGGGTGATCACTTCTGAGAAGCTTTGTGCACCGAGGCAACGTCGGCCTGATGTGTCCCGTCCACATAGAGGACCTACGGCTGACTCACACCTGCTCCTGCCAGCCTTTCTCCGGTAGACGGGCCCCCGCCCTTCCAGCCGGCCCAGGCCAATCCTTGTCACTTGCTCAGTTTATCTTCCCGCCCGTGGTCAACACAGAGCAAATCTCATCGGCTCTGCCTTCAAAACAGACCCAGTAGGGCCTCCCCGGTGGCGCAGCGGTTGAGCACTGGGTTGCAAAACAGACCCGGAAGGCAGTCATTCCCCCACCACCTTGTGCACGCAGCCGCGGGGCCTGTCGCCAGCCTGCCTGGCATAGCCGGCCGGCCTAAAGCAACAGGCTGTCATCTCTGGAGGCCGGACTCCTAAATCGAGGAATTGGCAGGATGCTGCTGCCCTGGGGGGAATCTGTCCTCCCAGCTTCTGCCTGGTGGGCTGCATCTTTCTCTGCCCTGTTTTCACATCATCGCTGGGTGTGCATGTGCACGTGTGTGGGGGAATGTGCGCACATGTGTGAGCACACACTGTGTGCATCTGTGTAATCTCCTGCCGCCTCTCTGTTCTAAGGACGCTTGTGATGACAGACCCCACGGGTGATCCAGGATCATCTCAGCACCAGATCCTTCATTTAATTACATCTGCAAAGAGCTTCCCCCCAGGTGGGGTGCCAAGGCTAGGTCTGGGCGGCGGGAGGTGAGCCTGTCTCTTGGAGCCATGGCCCGCTTCCCACAGGTCACCCCAGAGGGTTGCCCCAGCAGCCCTGCCATGCACGCCCACTTTCCTCCACCCCCTCCCCTGGGCCCTGCCAGCCACTCCTGTGTTCTGCATCCCTGTAATGTTGTCACTTCCAGAATGTTCTTTGAGTGGAATCTACTCTCTTAGCAAATTCTTCTCCCGCCACCCTGCCTTAGACACCTTTGGCGCCTCCGCCCCTCCCTCTTAACCTCAGAAACTTTACTTCATTTGTTAATGACCCCAGGTTTTCATTTAATTACAACTGTTACTCTGCAAATCATCCACCATGTAAAGTCCAGTGCTTGTCTCCGTCTTGCTGACTTGCTTTCCCACACATAATTCCCTCAAATTCCTCCTGATTTGCTGTAATTGGCAGCATTTTGTCATCTTTATGGCTGAACAAGATTCCGTCATGTGGCTGGACGCCGTCTTCTGTCCGTGTCTGGCTCTTGTAAATAATGCTGCAATAAGCATTGCAGAGCAGGCGTTTTTGTTTGTTTGTTTTAAGTTGATGGCCTTGTGTTCTTGGAATAGATGCCCGGGAGTGGAATTGCTGGGCCATATAATCTTGCCATTTTTCGTTTTCTAAGGTCAGTCCAGGTTGCTTTCCAGGACGGTCGCACCATTGACAGTCCCCCCGGGAGTATAATCGGGCTCCTTTTTCCCTGCATCCTCTCCAGCACTGGTTGTTGGGGGCTTTTCAATATGTGCTGGTCTCGGGATGGGAGAAGGCATCTCGTCATGGGTGACCCTCCCCTCCCCTGTCAGAAGGAATGATGAACACGCTTCCGCGAATCCATTGGCCTTCTGGGCGTCCTCTTTGGTGCCTGCCTCTGAGTCTTAGACACTCTGCGTGTTCTAAACTCTACTCATGTGCTGATGTGTGACTCACACCTATTCTCTCCTGTTCTGTGGCTTTTATGGTTATCCTCTTAACAGCATCACACTTTTTTTATTTCCATAAAGTCTGATTTATCAATGCTCCTGTCTATTAATTGTGCTTTTCATGTCAAGGGAGAGACCTCTTCTCCGGCCCTAGATTCCCAATTCTTTCTCTAGCATTTTTTCTAAGACAGTCATAGTTTTACCTTTGGCATTCGTTTTTTTAAAGATTTATTTTATTTATGCATACAAGAGCTGGGGTGTAGGCCAGAAGGGTGGGGGGGGTGAGAGGATTCACCAAAGACAGAGCGGGGATAGAACAGGTGGGTCTACTGAAATCCACTGCTGAGGGGAGCAGTGGGTGAGACAGGAGAGGTCTCTCCCGTGGGAATCTCCCCAGCTGGCTGTGAATTGAACCAGCGCTGCAGAGACTGCGGACAGCTTCACAGCACTGTGCTCAGCCCACTGTGCCACCGGGGAGGCCCCCTACTTATTTTTTAAAATATTCTCAATTCAAAAGCTGCAAGAGAATACACAGCGGAAAGAAATTCTCCCTCCCTCCACCTAGCCCACCAGAAGCAACCACTGTGGTCTTTTGCGCAAACACACACACACACAAACACCCGCGCCGGTGTGCCTTACACCAGCAGTGCAGGTCTTGCTTTCTTTCATTCACCTCATCTTCGTGATTCCTCTCCGTCAGCATGGACAGCTTCCCCAGTGTGGACTGAATTCACTGAAGTATTACCTCCCTGCCCCCTGCACCCCCATGTCTCCTCCTATCCCATGTTCCCACCTGCCACCAGACTCCTGTAATCTCACCAGCTGACGGCTAGCCAGGCCCTGGGCAGTCCTTGCTCTAAAGGTGCTGGGCTGTGAACAAGCTCCGCCTCCCCAAAGGCGGGATTTCCCCCTTCCCAAAGCCCAGCCTACCCCAGCCCCTGGCTCAGCCCAACATCAGGCCCTCAGGAGGCCTCCCCTGCCTGCCCCCTACAGCCACAGCCTGTCTGCCTGGACCCTCCTCCAAACACTGGCTGAGGTAGCTGTGAGCCAGGCTAGGCTAGCGCGGGCAGCTGGGGTGGCCAGGAGGAGGAGCCCCAGGCCCACCCTCACCGCTGGGAGAGAGAGAGGTCTGCAGCCCTGACCCAGAGGCTGGGAGAGCCACAGGTGCCCGCAGGTAGGGAGGGTCTATCCTGCCCAAATGTCAGCATGTTTAAAAGGTGCAAGAGCAGCTTTATTCACAGCAGCCAGACGGTGGAGGCATCCAAGCGTCCATCAAGAGAGGAATGGAAACAAGTCAAGGCGAGAGGCTGTGCGCGCAGCTGGGCTTATCTTAGCAGTGAGGACACCTGAGGTGAGTGCCGCCTGGCGACTTTGTCCTGCGAGCATCACAGAGTAAAGCCGCGAGCCCAGAGGCTGGTGCCTGTGACGCACTGAGGCAGTGGGTAGAGCTGTAGTTCTGTGCTTGTGATGGAGACCTGCGGAATAGTACTCAGCCCTTAAAAAGGGAAGGAATTCGGACCCCGCCGGAACGGGGATGAATCTGGAGGCCGTTAAGCTCGGTGAAATGAGCCTCTCACAAAAAGATACACTTTGTTAGGAGGGCCCTGGGGTTGCCAGCGCCGTGGAGACGGAAGGTGGAGTGGGGCAAGGCTGCAGGGGCTGAGGGCCGGGCGCCCGGGGAGCTTGGTTTCATGGGCGCAGTTTCCCTTTGCAAGTTTAGAAAGTTCTGAACACTTCGAAATGGTTAAGATGGCAACTTTTATACGAGGATTTGACCACAATTAAAATTTTTTAAGTAAAAAAATAAAATAGAACAAAAATGACAAAAAAAAAAAAGGCGGGGGGAGCCTCTGAGCCTGCTGCACCACAGGGACACGGCAGGGCGGGAGCCGGGCCCGCATGCCCACGGCCTGGGGCAGCGCCCTCTCCTCTCTGGGCATGGGGCAGAGGTGGGCACCCGCGGCCTCGGCTCCTGGGGGGGCTCCCACCATCCGGCCCTGGCCTGGGGCTCCCCACCCCAGCGGCGCCCCGCCCTGCCGCCCGGGCTCCCCGGGCTGCGCCTGCGGGAGGGGCGACCCGGCCGGGCCCCGGGCACCAGATGAGCCGCGCGGCGGCCGCGGGGAGCCCCGCCCGCGCTCGCGCGTGGCCCGGGGCCGGGTCGCGCCGCACCTCGGCCGGGACGCGCCCCGCGCCGCGCGGTCCCTAACGCGCCGCGAGGCGCCGGCTCTTTGCAGACGCTCCCTGCGCCTCCCCCGCGCGGCCGCAGCGGCGCAGGCGCCGGGCCCGGCCGAGCGCGGAGCGGGGAGCGGCGGCCGCGCGCCCGGCGGTCCCGGGGGAGCAGGTGAGCGACCCGCGCCGCGCGGCCCCCGGGCCTGGCCGAGACGCCGCCCGCGCCCCGCCCGCCCCGCCCGGCGCCCCGCTCGCCGCCGCTGGCAGCGCCCTCCGTGCCCCTGGCATCCCGTCTCCCCTGCCTGGCGTCTCCTCCGGCCCGCCTGGCATCCCGCCTCCCCCCTGCCTGGCATCTCCCCCTCCTCCCCTGCCTGGCATTTCCCCCTCCTCCCTGCCTGGCATCTCCCCCTCCCCCCTGCCTGGCATCTCCCCCACCTCCCCCTGCCTGGCATCTCCCCCACCTCCCCCTGCCTGGCATCTCCCCCTCCTCCCCCTGCCTGGCATCTCCCCACCTCCCCCTGCCTGGCATCTCCCCCTCCCCCTGCCTGGCATCTCCCCCTCCTCCCCCCTGTCTGGCATCTCCCCACCTCCCCCTGCCTGGCATCTCCCCCTCCTCCCTGCCTGGCATCTCCCCCTCCCCCCTGCCTGGCATCTCCCCCACCTCCCCCTGCCTGGCATCTCCCCCTCCTCCCTGCCTGGCATTTCCCCCTCCTCCCCTGCCTGGCATCTCCCCCTCCTCCCACTGCCTGGCATCTCCCCCTCCTCCCCCCTGCCTGGCATCTCCCCCTCCTCCCCTGCCTGGCATCTCCCCCTCCTCCCCTGCCTGGCATCTCCCCCTCCCCCCTGCCTGGCATCTCCCCCTCCTCCCTGCCTGGCATCTCCCCCTCCTCCCCTGCCTGGCATCTCCCCCTCCTCCCCTGCCTGGCATCTCCCCCTCCTCCCCTGCCTGGCATCTCCCCCTCTTCCCCTGCCTGGTCGCCCTCCTCCCTGCCCTCCTGATATCTCCCCCTTCACCCCCTGTCTGTATTTCCCTGGTCGCTACCCTGCCTGGCACCCTTCCTCCCCTGCTTGGCACCTTACCTGGCACCCTCTTCTCTCTGCCCAGCATCTTGCTCCTTTCCTGACATCTCCCCCCACTCCAGACTCTCCTCCTGCCCCTCCCTGGCACCTTCCTCCACCCCAGCCTGGCACCTTTGCCTCCTACCCCCTTTCTCCCAACCTTCCCTGGCAAACTGCCCTCCAGCCTCCTCTCTGCACCCCCTCCTCGTCCCTGCCTGGCGCCTTTTCCCTCCTCATCCCTGCTTGGCACCTTCCCTCCTCCCCTTGCCTGGCACCTTCCCTCCTCCCTCCACCTGCAGTTCCCCACCTGCCCTTTGCTGCACCTTCCTCTCCTCTCCCACGTCTGCCACCTTTCCTCCTCCCCCACTCTGTATCTCTTCCTCCTCCCCAACAGGGTCACCCCCACACCCCCTAGCCCCCCACCTAGCACTTTCCCACCCTGCTCCTGGCAGGCACCTCTTCTCTCCCCCCTGCCTGGCACCTTCCCTCCTTCCCTCTGCCTGGCTCCTCCCTTGGCTGGCACCTTCCCCCCCCCTGCCTGGCACCTTCCCCCCTCCCCTGCCTGGCACCTTCCCCCCTCCCCTGCCTGGCAACTTCCCTTCCTCCCTCTGCCTGGCACCTTCCTTGTCTCCACCTGGCACCTTCCTACCTGGACACCCTCTCCCATTTAGATTTTCCCTCTGTCTTACACATTCCTGGCTTCCTTCTGCCAGTCAGGGCTGGTAACCTCCCCTGTTGGCATCTTCCTTCTATCGTGGACGCCCCTTCCTCCTCAGCCTTCCCAGAGTTGCCCTCTGGCCCACACACCTCTCATGACCCTGCTCCATTGTCCCCCCTTACAGCACCATCTGCCCTCCTGATCCCTCATGCCCCATACCCTGCCACCTGGCCGGGCACTCAGCCCACAATTTGGGTTCTGATCCAGCTCAAGGCCTTCCTGCTCTTGAGAGAGGAGGAGTCTGTGCCCCCAGGGAGGGCCCAGCTCAAGCCCAGAAGATACGGAGCAGATACCTCTGCCTTCCTGCCACCCCTGGGGTGCCCTTAGGATGCCTCTGGGCTGCAGACATCATCCAGGTCCCAACCTGGCCTGATAGTCATGCCCTTCACCTCCGAATCCAGCCCCCACCTCCACCTGTGGTTTGGCCCCAGAGCTCGCTTCCCCCACCAGGTCTGGGTCCTACCTGTGTTCTCTGCTGTCCCGTGCTGTCGATGGGGCCTCTGTGTCCACCCCATGCCCTGCCTTGTGCCACCAGCCCTGGTGCGCACCCAGCCCTGGTCTTCTAGCTCACTCCTGTCCTCCCGCCCAGGCCCCTTGTCAGGGAGTTTGCCTCACGGCCAGTCCCCTGGGGCTTCTCTGGCCTCTGAGGCCCATCCTGAATCTGCCTTTGGAGCTCAGGGTCTGGCCCCCCTCCCACTGCCCTCTTCTTTCAGATCCTCCACAGAATGGCCCTTGGTACTGCAGGTGCAGTGGGCTCTGGGCCTGGGTACCAAGGGGGCACTGGATGACTCCCCTGCTGCAGGACCCTGCCACCTATGACTCCAGGCCTTCAGCACCCATCCGCCGTGGTACAGGTAGGCACTGCCTCCCTCACAGCCCAGGAGCAGGAGCCCTCAGGGCCACTGAGACCTGTGGCTCAGGGCGTCTGGTCACATTCCAGGGCTCCCTCTTGACATTTCTGACCTGCTGGACCAGTGCCAGTTTGTCTGATCCCTTCCCACAGATGGTACCTCTGCCCAACCCTGCTAACATTCTCCGCACCCCCTGCCCCCCGCCGCTTTCTCTGCCACTGGCCAAGTCCCTCCTAACCTCCCAGCACCCCTGGGCTCTGCCTCGCAAAGCCAGTCAGAGCCAGGGACAAGTGAGCCTGAAACCAAGGTTTTAGAACAGGTGAAAACAGCTTGTTCCTCTTCCTTCCCACCTGCAGACACCTAGATGCACTCCTCTCCCCTCACCTGTACGCGTGTGCACCCATGCTCTCTGCTGGCGGGGGCTTGCTCACCCCAGCACAACCTGGGCTCCCAAAACTCAACCCCACACAGGCTGTGAAAACCTCTCAAACCCTTCCACGATGAAGGTGGGGGCTAGTTTTTGAAAGGAGGGACTAGGGGGACAGCCTACTGCAGGGCCTCTGGGAGGAGCCAGCCCCGAGCTGCCCCCACGCAGGCCTGAGCTCAGAGGTGCTCTCCGTTCGTTGCTCATGAGTTGAAGACCTTCCTGGCCTTCTCTGGCAGAGCGAGAAAAGAGCCCCGCAGGTGTCCCCCTAGCCCGGGGGGAAGTAGTGGCTTCAGGTACACTGAACCAAGCCCTAAGGTGCTCCCAGCCATGGAGGGAGGCCCCTGCCCAGGAACTCAGCCAGCTGAGGGCAGGGGTGGGCACCAGGTCTGAAGCCAGCCACCTGGTGTGAGCTCTGCCTGCCCTGCCCCACCTGCCACTCTAGCCATCGCCCAGCAACAAACCAGGTCCCCTGGACCCTTGAGGTGTGGGGAACCAGCCCCTGCCCATATAGCCTGAGGTCAGCAGACTTAGGCCTCAGCACTCTGAGGGAGACACTCTGAAAGCCCTGGATCTGAGTGACTGGAAGTGGGCTTTCAAGAATGGAAGGTGGTGCAGGCTGGAGTCAGGGGGCCAAGGCCCAGGCTGGAGACTAAGGGTGACTTTTTCCACTTCTCCTTCCTCAGCAGGGGCAGAAGAGCTGACTGGCCCTCCTGCCTGGGCCGCTCTGCAGGGCCCGCCAGCCCTGCCCCTGCCCACCCCTGCCCATCCAGCTGGCTTATTCCTAGGGCGAAACATATATGTGGGACCTGAGTGCGTCCCCCTTGCTGCTGGTTTGCAGCAAGCACTATCACGGAGGAAACCAAGGCAGAAAAGTCAAAGATACCCCACAGAGGTGGCGTCCCACTGCCCCATAAGCTGACATTGCCTTAGGCTAAGTGTGGGCCTGTCTTCAGCTTGCAGGGTCACTGTGACATGGAGACTCCTAAAGAAAAGTGTGGGTTAGTGCACTGCACTAGATCTTCCTGGGCAACTCAGTTCTGGGGTGTCCAGGGTGGAGGCTGGGCTGGATAAAGGGGGCTGATGGGGAGGCAGCTGAGGTCCCTGGAAGGTACACCAGAGCCCGGCCTCCACCCACCTGTGAGTGCTTGCAAGCCGCAGTGGCTTTGGGTGCACTGAGCTAAGTGCTAAGGGGGTGCCCCGGGTGCAGGAGGTGGATGTTCTGCGCTGTGCCAGACCCTGCTTGAAGGGGGTGACCACCCTGAAGGCTTGGGCCGGAGGCGGCAGGCTTGAAAAGATTGGGGGCTGGAAGGCTCTGGGGCTGTGGGTGCATCCCCGCAGCAGCTGGTCTCCCTGCAACCCCGGGGCAAATTGCGGGGTGGGGGAGGAGTTTCTGGCCTTTTATTCTGGAGTCACATTAACTAAGATTGGCGTTGGCTCCCCGCGCAATGGGCCTGGAGCGGGTGATGCTGGCGGCTCGGCGCGGCTGTCATTTGGATGCTGACGAGCCCGTGCGCTGTCTAGACAGCTCGGTCGTCGTTGGGGTGTGAGCCCAGGCGCAGCAGCTGGAGGCTGCCTCCCCCCCCCCCAGCAAGCGCTGACGCTGACGGTGTGATTGCAACTGTTAGCGAGCGTTAAGTGAAGTGGCGGAGGTAATGAACTGGAGGTGTCACGGGAGGAGGGAGGTGTCACCTGGGGGGGCCACAGAGGAGGCTGAGCGCAGACTCTGGGGAGGCCTCCGTGTGGGCTGCGCGCCGGCCCTGGGACCGCGGGTCCCCCTGGGACGGTGACTCCAGAGGGCTCAGTCTGCTCCCGGGTGTCCCAGCGGAGGGACCCCGTGGGGCCCTGGCTGTGTCCCCACCGTGTTCTGTGCTGGTGAGGCCTGCCTGGACGTCGGTAACTGGCCGGCACCCCTAAACTCCCTTCTGGGAAATCTGAGACAGTCTCATGAGCACGCGCCCCGATCACGCCTTTATGGGAAGTTGCCAGCGGCGCCCCCAAGTCAAACGCAGCCCCGCGGAGAACGTCCTGCCGTGCGGGGAGCGAGGCCGCGAGGTGCAGGCAGCGGCGCCCCTCGCCTCACCCCAACCAAACAGGGTTTGCAAAGTCGCAGATAGAAAATGGGGATACAGATAGAAAATGGGGGTGGGTGTGCCCCCCCCGCCCCGTCCCCCCGGGCAGGAAGCCGGCAGGGCTCTGCCGACCTCCCCGGCCCTGGGACCAAAATCAAACCATCTGCCCAAAGCACCGTGACCAGGTCTCCCCTGCATGATGACCCGGGGGGAGGGGTGCCCTCTGGGTTAGTTAAGGGGTGGCCTCCACCAGGCCTCAGGACTTGCCCAGGGTCAAGGTGGGGCCAGTCCTTGCCCCGCAGCCTTAGAGACGTGCTTGCGCCTCTGACCCCAAGGAGAACATTTTGAGCGCCCGGAGAAGAGCCTGCGCCTCCCGGGGACGCCCCGTAAGGCTCGCGCGCCGTTTCCCGCCCGCGTCTGGGTGCAGGAGGGTTTCCTCCGTGGGGGGAAGGAAAACGGAATCACGTTTTTGGGGTAAGAGCGGCAACCCTGTGGGAATCAAGAACTCCGTGAGCTTGGCTGCCCTGGGGCGGGCTTCGGTCTGGGGTTTGCCTCCTAGTCCTCTCCCCGCCCCGCGTCCCGAACCCACTAGGAAATAGGAAGGTGGGGGGTGACATAGCAGCTTTACTGCGGGGATGTTGGGACTGAAGAGAGAGGCCCCCAGGCGGAAGGCCCTAACCTGGCTCGGGAACAGGAGCGCCGGGGCCCCTCCCGTCAGCAGCCACCTCCAAAGGGAAGGGCAGACACGGAGGGAGCAGGCGTGACGTCCTTCCCCCACCCAGGAGAGGGGCTGACCCAGTAGCTGTCAGGCCTCAGCCTCATCAGACAAAGCCCCCCTCCCAGAGGGGCCGCGGGGAGGGGCAGAGAGGTGATGCCAGAGTCTTCTCACCTGCGGAGCAGAGTCCGAGTTTCCCTGTGAACACATGACAAGAGCGTGGGGGTCCCTCTGCAAGGCTGACAGCCCCTGGATGCTCAAGTTCCGACCTGGGAGTCACCTTTGACCCTCCCCCTGCCTTTCTCTGCCCCTTTATTTGAATTGCCCAGGCACACTTCAACGCCGTCACTCAAGTGGCGATTTCCCTCATCGCCACCCTCATCTGTGCCGCTCTGCCCTCCCACCTGGACCACTGGGGTCGCCACCTGGCGCCCCACATTCAGATGTGGCCCCAGCCCCACCAGGGAAGCCAGGACGGGCTCCTGCGGCCCTGACCTCACACTCCCTCTCCCGTTCCCGGGGGGCTTCGAGCGCCTGTCCTCACCCAGGGCCTTCAGCACGCTGCCCCCTTGGCCTGCGGCGCCCTTCGCGCTCCCTGGCCTGAGCACGCCGACCCTCCAAGTCTCAACCTTGTGCCACTTCTTCCAGGGAGACCTCCCACCCGCTTAGGTGTGAAACCCCAACTTCTCAGGCCTTGTAGCACTTACCAAAATGCAAAGATCTCCTTGTCGTGTTCCCTACGCACCAGCTGCGTCTGTCTTGTTCAGCGCAGGGCGGAAAAGTCTTGAATGAGCCTGCAAATGAATGAGGCAGTGGGGGAGAGGAGGAGGTGGCTCTGACAGCTGATTCTAAAACGGGGGCCCCGCTCTCCCTACACCCCCACAGCCCACGGTGGGCCTTTCCTGCCAGCCCCCCTCGACCGCTGGCACGCGAGCTGCTCACAGGTCTGTGGGGCCACGCCGGGCAGGCCCTGCTCAGGCCTGTTCTCTTGTGCACAGAAGCTCGTCCCAGCTTCAGTTCTTCCCAAGGGTTAGGGTGACTCTTCCCCCCTGTGCCCTTGGAGTTGCCCTTTGAAGTTACCGAGAATAAACCCCTTTCTGTTCCCATGACATTTGACGCCTCCGGACCTTGGAGGCAGGTGCACTGACTCCCCATGTCTCCCTTGGGAACATCCTGTCTGGCTGCAGGGTGCCCCACCTGGGGCCTTGGTGCCCGTGGGCAGAGCCGGGGTGGCGACACCAGGCCTTTAGAAGAGCTGCCCCTGGCCAGCTCGGCGGACCTGGGCAGCCCAGCTTCCTTCCCTGGCCCTCGGTGCTGCGTGGGAAAGATGGGCCTTCAGCCCCTCCTGTAAAGGGCGGGAAGGCTCGTGCTGCACCAGCCCAACCTGCAGTGAATGCCCCCCACCCGCCACCCCCGCAGTTAAAATAGGATGCTCAGTGCTGCCCCCAGCGGCCATCTGTAGACCCAGAGGCCCCCTGCCATGGACACCCCCCCACCTCCTCTGTTGGCGCCTGAGCCGGGCAGGGTTCAGCCGCCAGCCCAGCCTGCTGCCCAGCCCGCTGCCCTCCAGCCAGCCAGACACCTTCTTTGACTTAAAGGAAGTTTTTCGCTGGGAAAACCGCTGCGCATAAAAGAGCAAACTGAGGTGGTAGCAGGGCCCAGGTGGGTGGGCTACGGGAGAGGAGGGGCTGTCTGGTGGGGCCTGAGTGGGGGGTCAGAGAAGCAGGCTCCAGCTGTGCCCACAGACCCCTCCATGCCCCCGCCCAGCAGGGGGCATCGCTGTGCTTTCACC